TCCCAGAGGCGTTCATTATCTCAGTGACCATGTCCTCCCGCGTTCTCTTTCTCCTCCTTCTAATCACCAAAATCTGCTTTCAGGTGTTGATGAAACGCCGAAGGACACACTTCCAGCTGTCAGTAATGGGAAAAAATAAAGGAGCCATTGTACATGAATAAAATGTGTCCATAGCAAGGCTGCTTTCAATAAAAAAAAAAAAAAACACACCTTTATTACACTAGGTGCAAGCCATAACATAATCAGAATCTGTAACCGTTCACTGTGCCGCTTTGCTGCTCCACCCATAGTGAGTAGGCCCCACCCCGGGTCATGGGTGACCACACTTTTAATGAAGTTTATGGCAGACTCATGTCAGCAGCAGAGGTAGCTAGTTGAACAATGGGCCTTCCCCATAGCACCACTGGAAGTTGTTTACGAATGGGGCGGGGGGGGGAACGTTTTCACTCCCAAATTGTGGAATCTCTCATGTGGGGCCCCAATCCCCTATCAGCCACATTAACCCACTTGCCAACCCATGCCGGGCACAGTAAAGGCACATTAGCGGCCGTGTGGTTTGGTGATCTGGAATGTGTGTGTGTGTGCAGGGGGTCTACATGCCCCTTTTTTTCTTGTAAGAGCACTTTTAATGAGAACTTCCCCCGTTTCCCCTAGGCGATCCTATGTGATATCAGTCTCCTGAGGGTCAGAGGCGGAAAGGAAGGAGATGCTGCAAGCATCTGGGTATATACCCAGTCCTTATGCTGCTATGCTGTGTACCGCAATGATGCCAGCAGAATTAATTCAGGAGTTGCATGGGAAAGTGTCCTACAATGGTGAAAGAAATAAGACTGCCCTGCCCAGAAACATTCTGCAAAGGATTGCAGAGTAATTCCATGAAAGTTTCCTAGAGATATCCATGGAGGATTCCTGGGCTATCCCAGTCCACATAAACAGTCTTTTCCAGGGGGTCACCGTCTGCGTAGCTGGAGCGGCCTCTTGTAAGCAGAGAATTACAGCACCTTGCTTTTTCTTCACAGTAAACATGCAATACCACCGAATGCGTGTGCCCGCTAAAGTTTAACTGGATTTTCATTGTAATTGTATACTCACCAGAGGTGCCTTCCCCAGCATCACGGTCGGCTACCATGATGTCCTGCGACCCACAGGGCTCCGGGGTTAAAAATATTTCCTGGCTCTCGGGGAGAATGGATCCACCACTTGCCAGTCTCCCATTTTCCTCCTCCTCTTCCACCATATCGTCCTCCTTGTTGTCCCTAGACTCACACATCTGTTAGGTGTCCACATTGCCTGTGGGGGTGCTGGTAGGGTCACCTCTGAGAATCTCATGCAGCTCGTTGTAGAACCAGCATGTGTGGGGTTCAGCACCAGAATGACTGTTCGGCTCCCTTGCCTTCTGGTACGCTTGGCCAAGTTTTTATTTTTACACAGCACTGCTGTGTGTCCCTCATGTAGGCCTTCTCCCCCATTCCACGAGCGATCTTTGCATAGATATCAGCGTTTCTTCTGCTGGATCGGAGCTCTGCCTGCACAGACTCTTCTCCCCACACAGCGATGAGATCCACCACTTCCTGTGCAGACCACGCTGGAGCGCGTTTGGGGTATACTCAAACTGTGCTCAAGCTGGCATGCTCCCAATGCTGATCAAACAGGAAATGGGAAATCAAAAATTCCCAGGGCTTTAGCAGGGGAGGGGCTGTTTCCTGTGTACCTGGCTGCGGTGCAGCAGAATTGAGAATGATCTCCAGAGCGGTCACACATGAGCATTGTGGGACACCATCTGGAGGCCAATTAAGTCGAACACAACGCTGCATCTGCACTACCTCGCAGTCTACCCATGAAAATCGAATTAAGCGCTACGCCTCTTACAGAAGCAGATTACAGAAGTTGACATTAGAGGCAATTTAGGTCAGCGTAAAGGACCAGTCAGTGTAGACACATACTTTAACAGGTCGACTTAAGGTGGCTTTCTTCGACCTAACTTTTTAGAGTAGACCAGGCCTGAGTGTCCTCAGGAAGTGACTACCATCTATCATGGGCGGTTCATTCTCTCTCTCACTCATTCTCTCCCCAGGGGGAATGCTGGAGCCCAATCTTGCATAGATTTACATATGTGCTTAGTTTGACCACTGAGAGTAGTTCCACTGAAAGCAATGGGACTACTCAATGCATAAAGTCAAACACATGTATAAGTCTTTGCGGGATTGGGGCCTTACATGCATACTTAAATTTACTGACTGGAGTAATCCCATTGATTTCCAATTAAGCATGTATAGAAGGGTTTTCAGGATCAAGCCCTGACATCCCCTGAAACCCCAATAAAGTCCCTTTAATAAATATAAAAGTTGGGCGTAATATAGGAAAGGGTCTCACCCTTCATCTCCAAAAGAGACATCAAGTGAGAGAAAACAATAGGGCAAATTTTGCTTTTTTCAGCTAGTGATTTTATTTATAAAGGCCCTTTTAACTCTGCATGTGGAACAGGGCAGACAGAGTACAAATTAAAATAAACAACAATTAGAGCAGTGATTCCCAAACTTGTTCCACCGTTTGTGCAGGGAAAGCCCCTGGCGGGCTGGGCTGGTTCGTTTACCTGCCAGTACATCCCTCGGGCCGCGCCGCGGTCCAGCAGCTCCCATTGGCCTGCAGCAGCGAACCGTGGCCACTGAGAGCAGCAGTCGGCCGAACCTGCGGACGCGGCAGGTAAACAAACCAGCCCGGCCTGCCAGGGGCTTTCCCTGCACAAGCGGCGGAACAAGTTTGGGAACCACTGAATTAGAGTATGGTGGAACCTTTTAAGCACATAAAATTTGTTTATGTACTTTAAAATAAATCAGGCATAAAAGTACCAATATCCAGAGCTTATGATTTCTTATCTGGCCTATTTTGGGCCAAAACCAACACGCCTTATACACCTGATCTGTCCCAGTTAAATGCGACTGTCTATTTAGGTCAATATGGTAATCAGGATTTAGCCCTTTGATGTAGAAGGATTCTTAGATTTCACAGATCTTCATTTCGCTTTCATGGCACTATAATTTACAATAAGGCCAATAACTACAACAGCGAAGTGTGTCAAATTAAATAATTACAGTTAAATTCACTTTTGAATCAAAAAACTGAATGTACTTGAGGTTCCCAAATACAAAGTATTGTAACAACCAAGCAGAAAATCAGATATTTAAATCCAATTTTACAACAATCAGGTCTCAACAGAACTTCTAGCTGGCTGATGATCTGTTTTAAAAGATGACAATTATGGCAGTTGAGCACAGAAGTTTCAGAGCCTCAGTATTAATCTGGAACATGTTTACTGTCCTGTCTCTCATTATATGTATTTTGGTACACTATATATAAAAATAATTTGGGGCCTGGTCTTGCCACCATTATTCATGTGAGCAGTCTTTGCATGAAGAAGGACTTGGCCCTTGCATGGTAGAATAATTTGCTTTGACATAGACAGTATTCCAACTAGGAGATTTTTGTTAAAGGTGTAATGATTATAAAAACTATAGTAATTTAATTGTTGCTTATTCTGTGGTTTGATTTCAGTTTCTTTTCTCAGTCGATTGACCATGCTACAGTGACATTTTTTATTTTTTGTTTTATTGATTTCCCCCCTCCCCACCCGCACTCCACAGATAACCTCTTACATTTTCCTGATACAAAAATATAAACACACAACTCACCATGCTGATGAGTATGGTATAAATACCTACATATATAGCCCAGTCACAGCTATTTGTTCTTCCGCCCAGCTACTTTCAAAATGATTGCACTTTCCTTATTACATGCTTTTGCTATTAAATGCACAAATTCATGCTAAATGCACGCAACTCGGACAGTAACCAGAACATCACGTTCATAAACGAAAAGGCGCAAACTGAGCGTTTAAAGCCAGCCAAAACAATCCACCCTGGTGCCATGCATTGTTGCTTATGATTGACTTTTCCTGCAACATGTCCTGTGATTCACTCTATGAAGGCCACTATATAAAAATTAATGGTATATTGGATTGCACTGAAGAGTGGAGAGACCTCGCTTCCTGCCTTGCTGGTAAACCTCTTTAAGGGAAAGCAATAGCAGCCTTAGTGCCATTGTGTTCCTGCTTCATCATCATCATCATTCTACCCTATGCCCCCAATAACTCCTTCAGAGGAGAGGACCACAATAAACAACAGGAAGGGAACAAGGAAAAGAACATTCATCAGTCTGACTTCACACAACACCCCTAACCCTAACTCCTTCTCCAAATGGGGGTGTGAGAGAGAGAGAAGTAAACTGGCTAAACAGATCTCCCAAGATGCAGTTTTCTTTCCTTTCAATCCCTCCCCACAAGAACCCCCCAAATTCCTCTGCAAGCCACTGTTGCAATGCATATTACCCAAAGCATTAGCTATGCAGACACTTTTGCAGGGTATTATAAGTGATTCCAGCCAAATGAATAAATGTTATTTAAAAAAAAATCACTTCCCAACCCCACCTCGCTGATTTCAAAGCAGCTTCTGTACTCTGGATGCATATTTGGCTCACGTACATACATTATATTCTGTAATTTTCTCCCCCACCTCCCTTCAAAAATTTCCTAGATGCAGCCAACCAGAAGAATGTTAGGAATGAATGGGTAAAAAAAAAATCCTAACAGTTTACCGGAATAAATAATAATTAAAAAACCACAACTGCTTTAAAACAGATCTCCAGTTGTCCATTCATAGCTGCCACCTCCCTCCCCTTTTATTACTTAAGGCTAATTCCCTGGAAATACATGACAATCACCGCCCTGTAATGCATGTTTCACGGCACCCCTCTCAGCAGATGCTTCTTTTCCTACTTTAAAACATTATCTCCAGCTTTCATCCCAGGGTTTTTCGTTGGGGTGTTTTATTTTATTTTATTTTGTAACATAACAGTAGCTTCTTCAAATCGGTATAACTCATTCACTCCTTCAAGGAGAGGGAAAATAGCTTAGTGTTACTGATGCTGCACAAAAGAAAACATACCTGATCTCTTTGATGCTTTCCAGTTTGCACATGATTTCTTGCTCATCAGCCATGCTTTTCACTCCAATTTAAACCTCCCGTGATGTACAAAATGCCAGCCCCAAAAAACAAAACAAAACAAAAATCAACCCATACAATAGACACAATGTAGCCACCCACTCCAGGCATATGGACTCTGAGCCTGTGCGGTATAATCTAATGGGAACTATGGGAGTTAGAGTCCAGTTTCTTATTGCAGCCCAGGCATGTGCAAGAGGAAAGACTACAACGCCCACAAGGCAGAGCAGAGCGTTCTTACTCCTCTTCCTGCAGCCACACTTTAAATCAATTTGTCACAGCTAATTATGTCAAAGGTTGCTAGTAGTGTAAGGGAGCCAAGTTCCTCCCCCCTGAGGGTTGTGGGTTGTTGCTCTTTTAACTGAAACGATACAATGACGTATAAATGACTACTGAGAGTCAGTTGGGAAGATTCATGATTTTGAGGAAAAGGGAAATTAAATCACACAGAAAAAATGCTCCAACAGTTTTGAGAGACATGCAGTTTCATGTTTGACATTTAATTGATGCTCAGTTGTCCAAAGATATGCACAGGCACTGGGGCTTCTTTGGGATTTTGTTTTCGCTCTGAGTCAATACAACTGACAATATAAGTGATACAAAACAAGAAATAAAGCACAAATGTAACCTTTGTTATTAAAAATTAAGATTTAGAGTGATCCTCAGGCACCTTTCATCTGAGGATCTCAAAGAGATATACATACATTGATGAATTAGTCTCACAGTCCCTAAGGCTACATCTACACTACAGGGGGGGGTCGATTTAAGATACGCAAATTCAGCTACGCGAATAGCGTAGCTGAATTCGACGTATCGCAGCCGACTTACCCCGCTGTAGGGACGGCGGCAAAATCAACCTCTGCGGCTTCCCGTCGACGGCGCTTACTCCCACCTCCACTGGTGGAGTAAGAGTGTCGATTCGGGGATCGATTGTCGCATCCCCCCGAGAGGTCGATTTCTACCCACCGATTCAGGCGGGTAGTGTAGACCCAGCCTGAGACTCGCTGCTGTGGTGTGTTTGTTTTTGTTTTTTTGCAGTGTAGACGTACCCTAAAGAGGTTAAGACATAAAATTTCAAATCTGGTTGCCTGATTAAGTGGTCGAATTTTCAAAGGTGATGAGCATCCACATTTCTGACTGTGGGAGCTTTGAAAATCCAGCCACTAATTTTGATACTTGACTATGGATTTAAGTGTCTAACTTTTAGGCAACCAAATGTGAAAATTATGTCCATCGAATCTGGAAACTGTTGTCTATCTGTAGTATCATAATGGGTAGCTCCAGTCACCTGCAGGCATTTGTGCTGCTGCTGGTCTCCTCTGAAGAGATTGATCTTTGTTCTCATGGAGTCCCTGATGTACGTGTGTCAAACAGTGCTTGTTGTGAGGAATATTGCCATTTATAAACTGGCATGACGAGGAAGGCTACAAATCTCCTGGGTACTCAGCTGAGCTGGAATTAAACCACAAAAGAAATTTCACCTGATGTCTCTGTGCAAACAACACACATGGTCTGAAATAAATGGGCAACAGCCAACAGCAAAGAAATATATTGGAAAATTGGGCACAGGAAGGTGTAAATTATACTTCCTTTCACCAGCAAAGCTACCTGAATGGCAAGGCGGATTCACCCTTATTGAACAGATGGTGGCATCTATCTCAGCCCTCTTGTGGGTCCCTCACCAGGAAGCGGGTGGTATGTTTAACTCCCCCTGGGGCTTTCTATGAGCTCTGCCAATAGGTGAGTCTCCAAAGAGCCTATGAATATATGTTGATTGCCCTGGACACACACCTTTTCTGCCCAGCACCACCTTATTTTGATGCTGAACCCCTTGGTAATTGGAGTTGAAAGTATTTGGACCACCATCAGCTGGAATTTTTTTACCTTCTGCCCAAATTAAATGTGGGATGTCAACGTGTGTGATGCGGGACCAATCTATCAATACCTGGACCCCAAGAGAGGTGTGAATTTTGAATGGTGAGAATAATTAACCTTTGGAACAATTTAACAAGAGTTCCAGTGGATTCTCCATTGCTGACCATTTTAAAATCAAGATTGGATGTTTTTTCTAAGAGATATGCTCTAGGAATTATTTTGGGGGCAGTTCTATGGCCTGTGCCATACAGGAGGTCAGACTAGATGATTACAATGATGCCTTCAGGCTTTGGAATCTATGAATTCCATGAAAAGTTTGACAAATGTCCCCAAAGCTCCAGCTTGTCACCTCCTAAATTTAGCCTGAGCTCCACTGATCCAGGAAGCATAAGAAACTAGGTCAGTTGTGAAATTTCTCAAGCACACAAGGCTGATATCAAATCCCCCCCTCCCCCACTGTTTTCCAAGGGTGGTTCACCCACTTCTATTTGCCACTGTTTTTCCCACATGTAGGCTGGTCTTGACCCTTTGGAGAAGGGATCCTATTTTTATATTTGCCGTTGAAATGTCATGCACTCCTATAGTACCATAAAGCAAACACAAATCTTAGAATTTAACCAGTTAGTGATATTTTAATGGTCTAAATAACGGTTGTCAGGGTAAAGAACTTGGGACTGATTTTGAAAACTCTCCATGCATTGAAGTCAGTGGGAGTTGCCATGTGAGATTTGTATAGTGAACAGAAGGCTTGAAAATCAGACCCCTTTCATGCCAGTTTTCTACGCAGAGTCCAATTTGTAGGAAAGTTATAAACTGAAGCTATGAATGGGAGGAGAATGGGGCTCTCTAGCAGGAGGGAATAAAAAGCAAGGCTTCAGAGGTGAAGTGCTCTGACAGGGATCCTGGGTCTGAAGAAGAATGGTCCTGGGGAATAGATTTGACAGCCTTGAGCTAGGAACTCTAAGAGCAGCCACACCTGGGGAAAAGGCTTGGATTGAACTTCACATGGTCTTATTTTTCATTTGTTTGTTAATAAAGTCAAGCCCCAGCAAGGGGGTGAGTTTTGAGTCTATATGGGGCAGGCAGACCGCTTAGAACAGCTAGGAAAACCACCTACTCCCAGGGTATAGTGGTGGAAACATTGATGCACTCATTACATTGAATCTTGGAAGGCTTTGATTTTATTATAATAATAATTAATTAATAATAATTAATAATGCATAGCTCTTATATAGTACTTTTCATCTTTAGATCTCAAAGTGCTTTACAATGGAGATCAGTATCAGTACCCCCCTTTTATAGATGGGGAAACTGAGGCACAGAGCAGTCACATGCCCAAAATCAACTAGCAGGAAGAGTGGCAGAGCTGGGAATTGAATTTTTATCAGCAAGGGCCTGGTTTTTTTAGAAATGCTGAGCACTCACAACTGCCACAAAGTAAATAGAAGTGGCAGTACACCTCTATCCCGATATAATGCGACCCAATATAACATAGGGTTACCATATTCAAACATTTTAAAAAGAGGACACTCCAGGAGGCCCCGATCCCGCCCCCGGCCCTGCCCCAACTCTGCCCCTTCCCCGCCCCCGCCCCAACCCCACCCCTTCTCCGCTCCCATTCCAACCCTTTCCCCAAAGTCCCTGTCCCAACTCTGCCCCCTCCTCTGAGCACCCCGCATTCCCCCTCCTCCCTCCCACTCTGATCTTGGTTGGGGGTTGCTAAGTGCTTCCCTGCTCCTCACTTGCCCTGCAGCCTCTATGCCCTTGCCTGCCCTGCTCCCCACTCGCCCTGCAGCCTCTGCACCCCCTGCCTGCCCTGCTCCTGCAGCCTCTGTG